AGTGAAATGCATGGGTGCATTGGGAATATGGTATTATCTTCCAAATGCATAGAGTTGTATCTGAAATCCCATTTGAAGGGAACTAATTTCCAGGAAGTTTTTGGTTTCAGAGAGATGCATAAGCAATTCTGTCAACAGGCAGAATATCCTAATGTGACCCTGTGAGGACAAAAAACATGAAATTTGCCATTCCACCTCTTCTTCTCAAAGGTGCATGGTCTGGATTTACTATCTAGTGAGACACTGACCTGAAACAAGCATGCAGAATCTGACTTTACGAACATCATGGTTTTTTGTGGTTAAATTAATTTAGTATGAAGTTAAAACAACATCAAGATAAATGATATAGATCAGCGGGAGCTGATGTGCTTAAAGTGGTTGTAAACCTCAGACAAGCAAATAAGACGAAGCATATCCCTCTAAAATGTGTACTTGTCTCAATCCAGAGCAGTAAGTGTCACTTTTGTCTGCTACTTCATTCCTCTGCTATCAGCATGAATCAATTTTGACAAGTTTTCCTGACACCAAGAGAAAAATGGTGACAGGAAAGGACCTCTGGCATACAGTCTGTGATTGACAGCCTCAGCTCTGTTCCTGTGTGCTGAGTAAAGGGGGGGGGGGGGTGTCCCTTCCCTCAAGACAGCTATCAGAGCTCTCCTCACTCAGCTCTGCAGAGTAATTTATGTTCAACGCCCCCTGTTTTCTAGAAGCTCAGATATACTTTAGAAATTCTGGACTTTGAATGCCTGTAGAGAAGAAAAGACTGGAGATAAATAGGTACAGGTATGTAGAAGGATTTGTTTCATCTCTGCATGTCACATGAGGCTAGTGACTTCACCGGGTATATGTAAGGGTTTCCAACCACTTTAAAGTTGTTTTACACATTTTAACCTCTTGCCACAATTAGGCCATTTAAAAAAAGTGGTTAAAACAAGTTCATGGCTGCAGCTGCAGCCTTAAGCTTGGTATAATTTTTTTCAGCCAGCAATCGACTCTTCAGTAAAAGTGACCTGGGTGACTCTACAGCCACCTAATCACTTTTAAGGTAGTGAGAAAAGCTGCCAAACCTGACTGCTGTTCTCCCTTTCCTCTGGTCTAATAGACCCTAATAAACCCTAATAGACCCCTGATGTCTCCAAAACAAATAACCTGTCATCTGCCCATGCTATCACATAGAGCCTGGCTAGCCATTTGGACTATCAATAAAATTAAATGAAAAAAATAAAAAAATGTAATAAAAATAAAGCAAATAAAAATTATTTTTAAAACGCTTCCTTGTCACCCTTAACATACATGCAAACAGGAGTATAGGACATGCACATGTATATAAAACAGCAAACGCACCACACATGTGATGTATCGTCACAAACATTTCACAGCTAACTATAAAGTGAAAACCTATAAGGGCTTTTAAAGCTTTGCCTAGCAATCATTTTGGGTACCATAGCTTTTAGCCAATTGTATGGGTATGTGCAATTTTGAAGTTTGACATTTTTGGTATTTCTTAACGCGACAAAACTCCATCTTTTATATTGTACAAAAGAACCAGGGTAATATAATGCATTTGTGTGCACTGAAACTCATTTAAGAGGACTTTTTCCTAAAAATATGTCTCTGCTTTTAGAAAAATATATAATTATTTGGGGGTTCTAAGAAATTTTTCAAAAAAGTTTGATTTTAACAACAACAAAATTGCCTCGGATGCAAAGTAGTTAAAGAGTTTTGACTGGCTTCTGGTTGACAGTTGTCTTTTGTTAAATTTCTTTGTGTGTTTTATTAAAAAAAAAACATGACATGACATTGTAGTTTTTTAATAGTTTTAACTTTTTTTGTGTGTATTTTTCTGTAATTTGGTGGTTTTTGACATACCAATACACATCAAAAATGAAAAGCTGCTATCTGAACTGATTTTTTCCAATGGTCTGCAAAAACAGAAAAACAACAAAATACACCAAAAAAGCAAAAGACCCAATTAAAAGGCCAATTTTTTGGCATTTCTTTTCTCACAGCATGCAGTCCTGGTCAAATAGGATGTGTTTAAACAAATAAGAAAAAACAAAAAAAGTTACAATTTTTTCCTTAATGTTGTTTTGTTCATATTAAAAGTTTTCTTTAAAAAAAGACATAAAAGGTTCAAAGTATCAACTTTCAACACTGGAAGCATATTTGTGTTGCAGTGTTTAAATTGCTATTTTGATCCAAATTTTTAACTAGAACAAGTTTCACCAAAAATATGAAGGAAGGGAAAATTGTTGGCATTTATTCTTTTCTTTTAAGATATCGAGTTACTTTATTTTGTTAACAAATGTTTTCATTTAATTAAGCCTAGAGTAGATTTTTTGCATGAGGTTAATTTATCTCATGTTCTCATATAACTTTCTGTGTGTAATCAGTGGTGCTGTGTGTAAATTATAGCCCATTCAGAAGATTTTCCACTTATAAAACTCTGGATTCCTTCACATCGCACGCAGAATTGTATGCCTTTACACTCAGAGGAGCCAGCCATGCATTCCTCTACACTCAGCACATTCAACCAACCCTATACACTGAATACATATACATACATTTCAGAACTTCATAACCATAGCTCCCATCATTATATCAGCAAGTTGTAATTTGTCGGACTGTAGGATGATTTGCACATTCTACCCAAGCTGTCTTACATTTTTCTCTGGTTTCTCTATGGCATAAATGCCCAAAAGTTAGTGTTAATAACCAGAGTTCAGAGTTAATGGCAGAGTCCAGCTCTGGCCAACCACATGAACATCCTAAATATATATTTTTCTGGTTTTGGATAGATGAGTGGCAGTTTTTCTTTGTCCTGTTGGGGACTTTGGTGAGGGAGGCGGCGGGGAGCGGTCGATTCTTTTTTCGCTCATCATTGTTAATGATGAGTGGTATACCTAGTGGTTGGCAAATACCCAGAGTGTCCTGAATACCTATCCACTGCTGAGGGGTCCACAGAAGGTCCGCTGAGTATATCTACCCTTGGAGTAAGATCCCTGAGTGTTCTTAGATGCGTGACGGCCCATTGGGTTATTGAGTTAACCCTTTAAGGACCGTAAGATTTTGGAACGCCAAAAGAATCAATTTTTTTTGTTTTTAAAGTTCGTACACTTCAGTTGCTGTAACTAAGCCATTTCATGAAATAATTGGCAAAAAGCTAGATCCAATTGTTGTTTGTTGATAAGAACTAATATTTTGACTCAAACCAAAAAAAAAAAAAAAAGTTTTAAGTTCTTAATCAGATGATACACGCAATTAAAAACATGGGACAAATACGTCCCTTGGTCCTCAAAGGGTTAAGGTGAGGGGGCAATCTAGCCAAAGGAGGATTGTGTTGACACCATCACTGGATATCACATGCGTTATTATCACGTGCATGAACCTACTAGTGGAGCACAAATAATTATTTATGAACTGTTCTATTTTTCGCCTCAGTTCTTGGTCACTATTGTACATTCACTAATCACGTCTGTGGAGTGCGATGTGCGGGGACTAGCATATGTTTTCACACACGTTTAGTGATTATGGTAGTATTAGTCAGATATTACTATATGATTATAGTAATATGGGATGTTAAAGTGAGCGCAACTAAATGCCAAAAAATGTATAAATGTGTGTACACAAAAGCGTATACACAGACAATATAACTGAGCAGCTGATACACCGAAAAGGTATATGATTATAGAACACTATTTTATCTGCATGTTTATTTAAGAGCACGTGTGTCATTTATGTTTGAAAACATCTATTTTTTGCCTCTATCCAAATGGATTTGATTATTACTGTGTCATAACAGCGCTGCACTATATGATCTTTTCTGTTGGGGACAGTTTACTTCAATTTCTGTCCCAGAGACGCAAAAGAAGGTGGGAGGAAATCTTTCTAAAGTGAGGGAAGCACTCGAACAGGTGTCCCCATTGGAAAATGCACCATATACCTCCTAGTCTGGTGACAACATTCTATCGTGGCAATAATGGTCACCAGAACTAATAATGACGGTGAGGAGTTGGGGTGGAGGAATTAGGATTTCACTGTACAGAGCAGCCACTAGCACACAGGACACTGATCATGATCGTGGGTACTGTCCCTGTTGGCAATAGAAAAAAAAAAACCACAACTGAACTTCAGCTTTAACCTAGTCCTGGCTAGAACTAAACTTACAACCGCTCAACCCGCTTTCCAAATTCTATATTAACTACCCTGTAGAAGAAAGATGTTTATACTTACTTATTATTTACTTATTCTCAGGCCACTACAGTCCAGTCATGTGATCTGTTCCTAGCATCCAGCTTCAGGGGAGAGGAAAGACAGCTTACAATGGTTGCCCCATAGTAAGCTTATGGGTGATATCACCACCCAGGCATTTCATCCATTGTCGGCGCTCTCTCCTCTCCCCTGAATCCGGCCACTGGGGAGATCATGTGACCTCAGGGGCTTTGGCCCAGTCATGTAATCTCCCCAACAGCTGGCTTCAGGGGAGAGGAGAAAGGGCCAATGGTTAAAATGCCTGGGCAGTGATGTCACACATAGGCTTTCTATGGGACAACCATTGTTGGCTATCTCTCCTCTCACCTTAAGCTGGCAACTGAGAGCAAAACATGTGACTGGACCATAGTGGCCTGAGAATAAGTATATAATAAGTATAAGCATCTTCCTTCTACAGAGTAGTTAGTATAGGTGGTAGAAGGTGGCTTGGAGCAGTTTTAAGATTTGTTAGTTCTAGTTCAGACTTCTACTTTAAATGTTTGACACTAGGTCTATATTAATGTTCTCTGTGAGCCTGAAACAACATACAGTATATCCCCTCTCCTTCCTGATTCACTAAATGCATTTGTTTCTATTGCCCATCAGGGTAGGCTAAAATGTTCCAGTTAAAAAGTAATAGTAATTTTATTTTCCTGAAAAACGATGCTGTAAAATTAAATCATTTGTTGAGTTTAGTCTGTATTTAAAAAAGCAATCCATTTTACAAGATAATTTGCTTTAGCTCTTACTTGCAAATGACGTCATTGCTGTTTTTGTCTATGATGCAGAGTCCACCTCGACACCTCAGACATTTGTCTATTTCACATTTGGAGCCTTCGTATCTCAGCGGGCAGACACATTCTACACGGCCATCATCAGAGATTGTGCAGGATTCTGAATTTACGCAGTAATGGTGGCACACATCTAGGATAAAACAATGTTCAAATGATCTTAGTGATGAGAAATCACAGTGCGCAAGCATTGGAGCATCATATTTTGTTTAGGAAACTTGTATTTGGTAAGCAAAAAGTGAATAAATTAGCCTTTTACAATTTAGTTATTACTAAACGTATGTTTAGACATTAAGGGGTTTATTTACTAAAGCTGCAGAGTCCAAAATCAGACTCCCTTCTGCATAGAAACCAATCAGCTTCTAACCTCAGCTTGTTCAATGAAGCTTTGGCAATGAAACCTGGAAGCTGATTGGTTTCTATGCAGAAGTGAGTCTGATTTTTCACTCTCCAGCTTTAGTAAATAAACCCCTAAAAGGTCCACTCCAGTCAAACTGAAGCCTTAAAATAGAAGTAAAAAAGACAAAACTTTTTTTTCCATTTTGAATAGAGGAAAGAAAGGTTAAAACACTGTCAATTTCTTTTTTTTTTTTAAACAAATTCTTTATTTTCAAACTCCAGTATAACTGAGCAAATGGTTACATTAAAAAACATTACTGAATGACATGCAAGATGAACATCTTCTATTGCAAGCATAGAGAAAGCTCGAGGGTTGTGAGACATTCACACTTATCAGAATTCCAAATATGTGCAAAAGAAAACAGAAATGTCTTCAAGTGAAATTGAGAGTGAGAGAAGAAGAAAAGAGAGAAGTAGAAAAAGAAAAAATAAGGGGGGGGGGGGATAACTTCCTTAGCTTCCCTTCCAGGATGTGATCCACCACCACATTCACGAGGGCCCGGGGCCCATATAAAGGAGCCATGGGGTCCAGTTTTTAAAATGTTTTTCCTTTTGCTTCCTGACATCGGCTTTCAACTGCTCCATCAACTTTATGTCAGCTACACACCACACTCCAGCCAGTGTGCAATAGTAGGTGGAGAAGAAGTCTTCCATATGGCTGGTATACATGCCTTAGCTATATTAAGCAGATGTTTTAGGAGATAGTTTTTATAGTGATTGATTTACATCGGAGTAACATTGAGTAAATATGCCGCCGGATCTCCCGCAAGAGACACATCTGTCACCTTATGTATTGTTGCAAGCACTGCAGTCCAAAACTCCTGTAGGGCTGGGCAAGACCAGAATATATGGAGTAAAGTACCTTCCTCTTGATTGCATCTCCAGCAAAGAGAGGATATTCGGGGATTAATTTTATGAATTGGGGAGTCTTGTACCATCGCGACATTACTTTATAGCCATTCTCTTGGTATGTGTTAGCAATACATGCCTTATGGGTAGGCAGGAGTATCCTATCTTTTTGGAATTGGGAAAAAGATCTCTGTAAGTCACCCTCCCATTTCCTCAAAAATGAATGGTTGCATGTCTGAGTACAGGTGGGTGGGCAAAGAGCTTGATGAGAACAAAATACCACTCGCATCTGGGAGCCCAGCTGTTTACATCTAATGAAGTCTAGCTCAGAATTGTAGATGGCCTGGAGTGCTACCTCAGACATCAGTGTGTTTTGGTCAGAGAAGTCCAAAAGAGACCACATATAATAAGAGTTTGGAACTGAAAGTCAGTCTCATTGTCAGGGAATTGTGGGGTACCCAAAACCTGAATCAATGGGCTGGGGGCCAGTAACAAACTGGATTTTTATAATAGCTTCTGGAGTACTGAGACATTAGTGAGTGACCAAAAATCATGGTGAAATGAGAAGGTGGAATCTCCACCTAAGGCAAACCCTCCAGGAGGAAGTGAGTGTTAGCTTGGTCAATTTCTTTTTGCCTTTTGTGTCCTATTGGAGAGACTTCCAGAGAAAGGAGGGGACACCTTCTAATGGATGGCCCATAGTAAGCCTAGGGGGGATGTCACCGCCCATAGCCAAAACAGAAAATTAGAGGAAATCGCTCCAAAGTGTGAGAAATCCCTAGCTGGCATCAGAGTCACTGGAACTAGTGTTCCAATTGGAAGATTTTCCCTCTATTCCTTTTCTGATGACAACCCAAAATTTGGGTATTTTCTTTCATTTTAACTTTATAATGGTAAACAGGACAAAAAGAGACAATGAATCTCTGTAACAGGGCACAGAGAGCAAAAAAAAAACAGACAGGAATTCTAATACCTCTCCACTCTTTCCAAAATTGAAAACAAAACTATTGCCTTAAGTTATACTTAAAAATGTGTAAAGGGCTTCTGTTGAGGGAAATATGGCGAGAGAAAGAACTTGATATCATAGAAGGGGTCTGCCATGGTAGAAATATGAAAGCTGCCATTTTTGATTGCTTTTAAAAGGTGAAAGCTCCAAGGTCATCATCACCAACACTGCTTCTCTACTTAGTTAGTCATTGACCTGGAATAAGTGTGTGGGTCTAGAGTTCAGAATTGCCTACTGGTTCCAGTTCACTGACTGACTTAGTGGATATGAGACTGGCTTGTTTTAAATGTGAAAGCTCTGTTTTTGCTTAACTACTATGTTGCACACGGGAGCATGAGAGAGAGATGACAGAACAAAACCATTGGACCTAGAAAGCAGACCCACCCAGAAACAGAGTGAAAAGCTTTCTAGAATCTGGCTTCAGTGGACGGAATAGAAATTAAATAAAATGGAATGGATTGACTCAGACTTAGACTGAGTGGTTTGACTTTAACTCAGTTACAGTGCTTCTTTGGTAACATTAACATCTTATTGACCTATTTTGCCAGCATGTGCTCTTTAAAGTGAATCTGGCCTAATGGAGTAAAGCAACAGATTTGCCTTAATACATCCTGCAGAACCATAGTATCAACTTTTCTTTTCTTCCCCGCTGCTGTGTTCAGCCACAAAGAGTAAAGACAACACCAAATACCTTCAGGTATAGTGGAGCATGTGACTCACTCAATGTGACAGCTTTGGTGCTTATTGATTGGCCCAATGCTCTCCAATGAAGGCAGGATGAAGCTGCAGCCCTGTGTAAGCTCTGACCCAGTGCCAATGGCTGGGAAGAGCCACAGGGGATTGAAAGAGGCACAATTAAGTGAACATGTTGGGTTTTACCTGCATGGGAAAGCACATGTTGACTTTAAGCCCATCTGAGCCTCAAATTTCAGCATCCAGGAGATGTTTTTAAAACTAGCTCTATATTATTTATCTTCACTTTCACCATTGCTACACTTAAAGTGAAGCTGTAATTAAAAAAATAGTGCATACATGACTGACTTATTTTACATGTGAAACCTTTGCAACAGTCATTCTTCTTTTTGCTTCACCACCTGGTTAATCCCTGACTTGGAACCAGTAGGCAACACTGAGCTGGTAACTGGATGTGCGTATTGATTCCAGATCAGTGATTCACTAGATAAAGAGCCATAATTGGGGATGATGGCCCCAGAGCTTGCATCTTTAAAACCAATCAAAAAAGACAGCTCCCATATTTCTATCATGACCAATTCCTTCTACAACTTTTAGCTGATAATATGCGGTTACTGGGTCAGCATGTAAACTATTTCAGCACCATGGACAATGGTAAAAGCATTTGTCTGTTATTCTCTATGTCAATGCTGTCCATGGTCCTGAAATAATTCACAGTGCTGCGAGATGACTCATTATTTAACATCTCTTTGTTTCTTTGAGCAAATATTTCATTTCAAAGCCTTGGTTCTATCAACAATGCTCCATTTGTTGGATTCTTATATTCTGAGTGCTCACGAGTCCTGAATCCCACCAGACACTACAACAGTAATTAAAACACTTCCATGAGAATTCTAATACAGGCTGTTGTTGGAGGCTAGTTTGTACAGAACACTTTATGAGGGTTTACCATGGAAACATCGATCGTTTCTGAAGATTTTTTATTTCAGAAAAGACAACGAAAATAGTCATGAATTAGTTCAGTGTGGAATGATTAGTACTGTGAAGTTTGTAATAGGAAAAGCTGACAAAGAGTAATTAAATATCAGTTCAAAGAAGACTGGGCAAAACCAAATAAGTTTAGTTAGGATAAAATGCTTATTTTAAGGGAATATAGCTGCAATCCCCAATTTAGTTTGGGGCCCCTCTCTTTAATAACATGAATAGGTCCTTAGACCACTATAAAGCAATTGCAAAGACCTTTAATCTCCATCACTACAATGGAACTGAAGTCTATTCAGTGGAAACCAATGGTTGTAATGCAGAGCAATTGCACTTTAAAGTATATCTAAATCTAAGAACAAACATTTAATATATTTTAGCCCACCAATCCTTAGACATGGTGGCTGCATTAGTTTACATTTTTCAAGCTTGGAACATTTTCAGCAAGTACAGAAAATACCTTTTGAAATGCATTTTTCAAGAGTGCATGTAAATTCTTGCAAATTGAACTGAAATCACAAACAATATTATCTTCGTCCCAAGCTATTTTCTGTAAAGTCCAAAATGTGTATTGTTTTTTGTCAGAGTTACTGGACTAACAGTTACTAAGAGTTACAGGCTAATTATCAAAAGGGCAAAAACAAGAGTGGTATTATACAGCAAAGTTCAATTTTATTTTATGCATATATAAAAAACAAATCACACTACAACTTCAATTTCTCTAAAAAAATGTTGCAACATTTTAGCATGATAGAACATATACACTGGTCAAAAAAATAAACTCCTGGGATATTGATCTGGTCAGTTAAGTAGCAGAAGGAGTTGTTAATCAGTTTCAGCTGCTTTGGTGTTAATGAAATTAATAACAGGTGCACTAGATGGGCAACAATGAGATGAGTCCCAAAACAGGAATAGTTTTACAGGTGGAGGCCACTGACATTTTTTTCCCCTACTCATCTATTCTGACTGTTTTTCACTCATTTTGCATTTGGCTAGAGTCAGTGTCACTATTGGTAGCATGAGGTGATATCTGGACCCTGCAGAGGTTCCAACTCCTCCAGGATGGCACATCAATATGTGCCATTGCCTGAAGGTTTGCTGTGTCTCCCAGCACAATCTCAAGAGCATGCAAGAGATTTCAGGAGACAGACAGTTACTCTAGGAGAGCTGGACAGGGCCGTAGAAGGTCCTTAACCCATCAGCAGGATCGGTATCTTCTCCTTTGTGCATGGTGGAACAGGACGAACACTGCCAGAGCCCTACAAAATTACCTCCAGCAGGCCACTGGTGTGAATGTCTATGACCAAACAATCAGAAACAGACTTCATGAGGGTGGCCTGAGGGCCAAACGTCCTCTAGTGGGCCCTGTGCTAACTGCCCGGCACCATGGAGCTAAATTGGCATTTGCCATTGAACACCAGAATTGGCAGGTCCACCACTGGTGCCTTGCGCTTTTCACAGATGAGAGCAGGTTCACCCTGAGCACATGTAACAGATGTGAAAGGGTCTGGAGAAGCCGTGGAGAATGTTATGCTGCCTGTAACATCATTCAGCATGACTGATGTGGTGGTGGGTCAGTGATGGTCTGGGAGGCATATCCATGGTGAAATGCACAGACCTCTACAGGCTAGACAATGGCACCCTGACTGCCATTAGGTATCAGGATGAAATTCTGGGAGCCATTGTCAGACCCTACGCTAGTGCAGTGGGTCCTGGGTTCTTCCTGGTGCATGACAATGCCCAGCCTCATGTGGTGAGAGTATACAGGCAGTTCCTGAATGATTATGGAATTGATACCACTGAATGGCCCCATGCTCGCCTGACCTAAATCCAATAGAACACCCTTGGGATATCATGTTTCGGTCCATCCGACACCGCCAGGTTTCACCTCAGACAGTCCAGGAGCTCAGTGATGCCCTGGTCCAGCTCTGGGAGGAAATACCCCAGGACATCATCCATCGTCTCATTAGGAGCATGTCCCGACATTGTCAGGCATGCATACAAGCATATGGAGGACATACAAACTACTGAGTACCATTTTGAGTTGCTGCAATTAAATTTCAGCAAAATGCACTAGCCTGCTGCACCATTTTTTCACTTTGATTTTCGGGATGTCTTTAAATTCAGTCCTCTGTAGGGTGATAATTTTCATTTCCATCAAACGATGGGGCATCCTTACATTAGTAACACATTACCCAGTCCATATCAGTATAGATATCCAACAGGAGATTTTTCCCCGTTGAGATCTGATGTGTTTTCAAAGTATTCCTTTATTTTTTTGAGCAGTGTATTTCACTCATAGGATATATTAAAATCAAGGAGTAATATATATAAAGCTGGTCCAACACGTTTCTTGGAGAAAGTCCAAGACACTTCTTCATTAGCCAATCTATACATCAAAATTCTAGAACAATAACAAAGATTATTACAATTGGTATAAATTAAATAACTACTATTCAAAATCCCACTAAACATATCTGGAGAATTGGCCTAAAACACAGAGAGGGGGGGGAGACAGGAGGGAGAGGGAAGAGAAGGGCAGGGAAGGGATAAAAAAGAGGCAGAACAGGGATGAGGCACCCAATGGAAACCCATAAGGCGAGGTACCATGGTACAAAAAAAACCCCAAAAACCTCTTTCCCCTCAATGCAACACCAACATATTGCAAATGTGTTTAAATTCTAGGTGCCTCGTGGTCTACATAGTAATAGTAATATTTAATAATGATATTTTCACACAAATAACATCAAAAGGAGACTGATTACAACTCAATACCTGGGAGAGCATCCATAGCCTGTCCTTGAAATAAGAGCAGTAACTATTCTGAGCCCCTATTCTCCAAAAAAGAAATATATGTTCTATCATGCTAAACTGTTGCAACAATTTTAGAGAAATTGATGTTGTAGTGTGATTTGTTTTTTATATATGGATAAAATAAAATTCAACTTTACTGTATAATGATCTGCCTCAAAAGTCTCACTCTATTGTTTTAGCCCTTTTGATGTGTTATATTTAGGGATGTGGCACATTTTTTCATTTTTATATCTTGATAGGACAGGCTAATGTTGACACCAACAAAAAAGTATAAGACAATACATATGAGCTGGGCTGAGGACCAATTCATATGTAGTAGAGGTAATGGCCTGGGAGAAGCCAAAAGTGAATGCTAATGCTAAGAAGTTAAAGGAAGCAGAAGACAAAAGGTCATGAACAAGGATAGTTATGTCTCAAACAAAGAGACTAGGAACAGTAAGTAAATGTAGCTACCTCAAGTGTGTCAAGTGAAGGGTACTTTTAATAATACAGCATACATAACTATTTTGGACCATTGTTCACTTTCAACCTTGTGCAAACAGTTTGAGGAAGGCAGCAAGAGTGTGTCCCAAGCACAAAGCATGGTCCCTATAGACATGGTGAGATGAGTTAGGTTTGAAGCAACACAAGTGTTGACCAAGTCAATCCTACTGAACACCTTTGCTATGAATTATAAATGTATTGGGAGCCAAGTCTTGAATATCAGTATCTGATCTCACAAATGCTCATTTGGCCAAACTGTGGAATGGGATGTCCAACAACCTATTTAAGTATGATGGTCAGGTGTCTAGATTTTCACTAAATGTCCCTAGTCACCTGACCTGTGTGGTGGACTGCCAGTGCTCTGAATTATGAAAGCCTGATAATCAACCATACTTTGCTTGGTTTCATGGTATTAGTTGTATGTTCCTACATGAATAAAATGATGTTTTTCATTATAAAATGATGTCATAATATGTACAAAAAAAGTCCTGATAATGCTATTTGTGTCTGCTGCTTTCTTCTGGGACTTGCCAGAATAAGAAGCATCGGATGCACCTCTTATTGGTTAGTGCAGTTACGTGGCTGTCCTGACCTGTGATCACTTGCCATTGCGAGCATTATGATAAATACTCACTAAGCCACTATGTGCAGCAGGATCTGGAGGGGTGGTCAGGATATTTGGCATTAGTTAACATTTCTTCTTCATGAAAAAGTTAATATCTCCTAAGTGCATGTGGATCTACTAATCAGGAGCCACAGCATATATATGATTTGAACATTTATGGTTGTCTTTAGGTATTAATATAACCTATAGTATTTACTATAAATAACATGGTCTATAAAACATCAACATACGCATATTAGAATATTTACACACATTGATCACATTCACATTCTGTTTACACTGTATATAACAAAAGTGTATAAACAGTACACATTTGTTTGGTTCCTTTTGACTTACGGTATTGGCATCTGTCCCCTGTATATTCATTAAAGCAGGTACACTGGGCTTGATTGCCAGGTGATACGCTACACGTGCCTCCATTCTGACACACATTCTCGCAGACTTTTTTGCCACAGTTAGGTCCAGTAAATCCTAAAGCGCAGGTGCAAGTGGGTTTTCCTGTAAAGAAAATGATGCATGATTTTTTAACAATATACATACAAATAAACACAATCTGGCTTTTTTTTTTTTGAACCAATAAGAGCACACAATGTCAACCAATCAAATTTCAGTTTAATGCAGTAAGATCAATAAAAGACTAATTCTAATTGGTCTCCATAGTTAATTCACTTTGCAATGCTTTCACCAAGCCTGAATGCCTGCATACATTCCAAAGATGTGTTTAACTGTTGGACTTGCACATGTTCTTTTTCCAACCCAGTTAACTATTGGCTAAATTCAAAGGAAGATTCCACATCATGACATGCAATTTGCTATGTGTCTCATTTTGAAATGTTATGTTCTTAAAGTTAAAAGGTTTTAGACAATACGATATAAACTTACTTGAAAAATGAATTTCCTGTTATGAGTGCTGCCTGTCTGCTGGCCATCCTTTTCCACAACCTCGTGGATTCCCTGCATGCTTTGCAGCTTCCCCTATGCTGTTTACTTTTAATTTCTGCTGCTGTACTGTAGGGGTAGGTGGATCAGGTAGGGACTCAGAAAGAAGTCTCCCCCATCCACGACTTTGCACATTACTATCGCTTCTACTTAGCCGACATACAAGGTTCAGTGCTCCAACGGTCTCAACCATGATGACGCGGCACCTCTGACAAACTCAGACAGCACCACAGGGTGCTGCAGCACCCTGGTTGGGAAAGACTGTTCTAGACTTTGTAGATAAGAGAAGAGAAGCATTAAAAGCAATCCACTTACCCCAGTTTTTAAAATTCAGTCTGACTGCAGTATGCCGTGAATGCTTTTTTAGCATTTCAAACACAATCTACATTATTCTACTGGGATATCCATGTAACAACCTAAACTAAGATTTCTATTCACTTAATTCAGCCTTTTTGTACAAATTACTGTGTGCTTGTTGTACCAAAACATCCCTCTTTATGAAATTCCAGCACACAATGGAGTAAGTATAACTTCTCTAAGCAGAGAATATTATTCCATGACCTTTTCACAATTGTGTTAACGGAGGAAATAAAAAATTCCAAGTCTAGAATGTAATGACAGCTTGTTAGCTGCTGCATATTTAGTTATCTGGGTCACCAGCCATTTAACTAACTGTAAAATGTAATAGACACCAATTGTTCTAGCAGTACTAGGTAAGGCAGGCAGTTTCAAACCATAGATTCTTCTGCTAAATACAAGAGCAGAATACATTGAGTGTTCTGTATTGCTTGTGATCTTATAAAAAATAGAAAATGTTTAGAAAATCTGCTATATCTGCCAGTACATGACGCATGAATGCACATGGTCTAGGCTAAACAATTCAGAAGAACCATTCTGACATGTAGATGGATAGATACATAGATAGATAGATAGATAGATAGATAGATAGATAGATAGATAGATAATCATGTAAATTTAATTTTTTGGACATCCCAATGCAAAACTGTGTACATTAAAGTGATACTAAACAGTGCTTTTAAATTAGGAAATATATTCAAGTATGCATTCTTAACTTTAAAAGGCAGTCAGATCACAGCACCAAAATCAAATGAATTTGGAAGAGGCTGGGAGCATTAGAAGCTGCTTTATTGAGGGTAGCTATGTTCAGTCTCCATGGTCCCATTGTTAACCCCTTGATTGCCCCTAAATGTTAACCCCTTCCAAGCCAGTATCATTAGTACAGTATTATATCTGATCACTGTATTTGCTCTTTTGACTGAATGGGCGCACATTCCAGCAGGCAAACTCCAAAATCTTGTGTGAAGGCTTCCAAGAAGAGCAGAGGCTGTTGTAGCTGCAGAGTGTGGTGTAGGTGGTGGTGGGGTGAAACGCCATATAAACCACTTGACCTCCAGAAGGTTTTACCCCCTTCATGACCATTGCATTTTTTTTTTTTGCTATGCTGCACTGCGCTACTTTAACTGGCAATTGCTTGGTCATGGAACACTTTATCCAAATAAAATTTAGATCATTTTTTTTCACACAAATAGACTTATAGATATAACTTTTTGTTATAAGACATATCCAATAAAAAAAATTTAATTTCTTCATAAATTTAGGCCAAAATAAATTCTGCTACATGCCTTTAGTAAAAAACAAAATCCCAGTAAGTTTATATTAATTGTTTTGTGTGAAAGTTATAGTGTATACAAACTATGGTATATATACTGGATTTTACACAGCTTTAGACGCAATACTCGTAGTGGAGGTGATCAGCAACATATAGTGGAACTGTGATAGTGTGGCGGGCTATCTGGCGCTGACAGTCACTGGCTGAGAGGGAAACTAGCTGACTGACACTGACTTCTCTAGTGACACTAAGCTCCAGTTTACACTGGTACATCTTGTCATGTGACTTGACAGATTAAAGTTGCACCTTATTTGAGGCTTTGGAACCATTCAAATCGGTGCGACTCTGATTCGTACCAAGTTTGAAAAAGGTTCTTGCACTATTTTTGCAGTTTCATGTGCAGCTTACATTGTCATCTGTGCATGAAGTAGCACAGATTTTCAAACGCCCATGAAGTTGCACTGATCTGTGGCTTTGAAATCATGCTGAAGTAGCGCAATTTCAAAAAAGGTTATTGAAAAAGGTTAGACAGCAGGCCTTGCTAAACATTTGGGGACCCAATTCATTCCAAAAAGGCCTTTATATAGGGTGGATAAGCAAGGCATCAAATGCAGATGGAAGGAATATGCAGAAGAGCTGTTGGCTGCCAATGATAACGTGGAACCAGTACTTGGGGACCCAGTAGAGTTAAAGCCAGCTATAGTTAATGAGGAAGTAGTATGGGCACTGAAGAAGCTACCAAACAACAAAGCTCCTGGAATTGACTATATTCCAGCTGAATTGTTAAGACCCATCCCATCAATAGTGATAAAAGAAGTCTGCCAGAAAATCTGGGAGACTATGAAGTGCCAAAAAGTGGAAAAGATCGATTTTTATTCCTCTACCAAAGAAAGGCGATTCACGAGACTGCAACAATTACCTCACACTTGCATTGATTCCTCACATAAGCAAAATCTCTTTGCAAAATGACTGGTCTTAGTTGCTGTTGAATAATTGAAAGCAAGAATTTTGCTTGACTCACAAGCTGGTTTCCAAAGAGGTCGAGGTACACGTGATCAGATTGCTAATCTACGTTGGATTACGGAAACGTAATGAATATCAAAAAAGCATCTACATGTGTTTCATTGATTACACCAAGGCATTCGACTGTGTTGTACATGACAAGCTATGGAAAGCATTGCAAGCAATGGGAGTGCCAATGCACCTTGTACAGTTAATAAGGTCACATTATATCGACCAAGAAGCTACTGTTCGGACACAATATGGTGACACTGAGTGGTTTAAAATTGGAAAAGGTGTACGCCAAGTTTGTATTCTCTTCTTTTCTTTTCAATCTGTATGCACAGGTCGTCATCATCAGGAAACTAGATCTAGAAGAATCTGAAATTGGGGTGAAGATAAGTGGTAGGAATATTAATAACCTTCGATATGCTGAGGATACAACTTTACTGGCAGAAACAGAAGAGGACCTAAAACACCTGATAGCAAAAACACAGGAGGAGAGTGCAAAAATGGGACTCCGTCTTAACATCAAAAAAACAAAGACAACATCTAAAACTCGAACAACCAAAATATACATTGATGAAGAGGAAATAGAATGTGTTCAGGATTTCTGTTTTCTAGGATCTATGATAAACCAAACAAGAAATTGCGCTTCTGAAATTAAAAAACAGATCGCATTAGGTCGTAACGCCATGCTAAGTATGCAAAAATTGTGGAAAAGTAAGATATCAGCCTCATCACCAAATGCAAGCTGGTAAACACGATAGTTTTTCCCTATAACAATAAGAAAGAAGATTGATGCATTCGAATTATGGTGGTGGAGAAGGCTATTAAGGATACCCTGGACAACAAAGATTACCAACACAGAGGTTTTAGACCGAGTTAAACCAGGAATCACTTTAGAAGGAAAGATAGTCAAATCACAGCTGACTTATTTTGGGCATGTGATGCGATCTGATTCCTTAGAGAAGGCAACATTACTTGGTATGGTCAGTGGGGGGAGAAAAAGAGGAAGGCCGAAAACACGCTGGTTAGATGCTATAACATTGAACACTGGCCTAAGCATGTATCAGCTAATAAGAAAGGTGCAAGACCGGAAAGTGTGGAGAGTGACGGCCCATGAAATCGCCAAGAGTCGGACACAACTGAATGGATAGAGAGAGATAGGGTGGAGGTCAGAGCTCCATGCAGGCCACTTAAGGTCCTCCAAACCAAGCTCATATGACCATGTCTTTAGAGACCTGGCCTTGCACACAGGGGCACAATCATGGTGGCACAGAAAGGGGCATTTCTCAAATTTTCAACGAAATTCAAAGGACAGATTTATCCAAAATTTCTTTGGACTGTATGCTGTATTATTATCAATATCATTTACTGGAAGCACTTTGGTCTTTTGAACAAGTTTGAGGACCAGGTGTCCCCAAAAGTTTGGCCTTACTGCACATTTTTTGGGGCCATTTATTAGAACAATATTTTATGGCGACATTAATAACCACAGGGATGTGTGACACCTGAATATGCATGACTGTACCAATGGAAACATCAAACATTGGATTCGGCAGGAAATTACTTTCAACAGGAATAATAGTTTTTATTTAGCCTCTTGTTGCAATTTTGTCATCATGCTGCTTTTCTTTGTAGCAATTATTTAACAATTTCAATGATTCTAGAAATGATTAGGTTATTAAGGACCTACATAATTTATTACAAAAAAGTGCGCACTCTCCTTTCTGGCATTTCGTGTATGTAAAACTCATTCCACAGGCCGTAATAATGCTTCTGTTCATTACTGATGAAATCTTATTAATTTGGTTTGCTCAAGAACTTTCCAGCTAAATCTAAAGTTTTAATTATGTCTCTCAGATGTGTGCCTTTAATTAACTGATGACATTTTCCTGGTTCAATTATTGTAGTTCAATACAACTGT